CAAGAATTTCACCTCAGGTATGCACCAGATCGCTCCATTTTAGTGTAATAATCGCAAAATCTTCATCGTGTGGGAAGGGGAGACACCCCCCTCCCATACCCTCCCCCTGCTCGGTCGCTATGCTCTCTCGCTCAGTCGCTTTGCGCCCTCACAAATTGCCAACATTTAAAAACGAACCCCCCCCCCAATATAAAGCTGGCTGCGGGCCTGTATATATACATATAGTAAATATATATACACACATATAACACATCTATTTTACTGCAAAGAATCTCTCATTTCGCAATTAACACGTACCAAACTTCACGCCATTTTCTCCGCTCAGACGCCAGTCGAATCCTGAATGGAGTATTCCTTCAACATTTTCTGGAATAGTTCCATGGAACAATGTCCTCTCTTCTCTCTCTGTCATCATGCCTAACATTATTCGTATCTCCTCTCGCTTTCTGTGAATGTGCACAGATATGCGGTTACCACAGATGCTCTCAACAGATCACATATTCCAGCCATTGCTAGCGAGACAATTTTTGACAACATTTAAAGCAACTGAACTACGTAGCTGAGGAGCAGTTTGCTTACTAAACACTGCGGGTGCTGATCAGCTTCAACACACAGAAAGGCAGTACAATTACCTATCTGTCTGGAATGACTGACAGGCAGATCTAGCCAATTACTGCTGCAATGGTGGGTTCCAAAAAAATGCTTGTCGAAGATGTGTCACATTTTGGTGCGCACACAATGAAAAGCATATAGACTGGTCTAGATTGACTGGCCCGTAAGGAGCAGTTTTTCTGACTACAATGCTCAGTTTTCTGACTGCTCTCAATGTCGGCAGCAAATACTTGCTGCAAAGAAATTCCTAATAAACCAAACCAAAAACACCAAAGTTACAGGCAATTTCTATTGCAAACAATGGTCAGTTGTTTAGGTTTTTTCCTAATTGCATTGACCTTACATTACTATCCCTACTTCGTTTGATGTGCAACTTGGGTTAAGTATAGGTAACTAAATTTAGAATAAACAAAGGGAAACAAGGCTGAATAACAGAGACAATATGACAGTACTGTTGGGGTGGGAGGGAGTTGGGCTTTTATGATTTCCCCATGTTTCTGCCGGAGTGAGTAAGACTGCTGCCCGTTTTTTTCTCTGGCAAGAAGTTGCTGCCTGGAACAAAGAGTTAATTTCCAATCGTGCGTGGTACGAATATTTTGCTCAGACAGTTTAGCAGTCGTGCCCTCAGACATGCAGTAGCCATTGTTCTATTGGGGACCTGGGATTGTTAGTATACCCCTCTATCAGGGCCGTAATAACGCCCATAATACACATGACCCCCAGTAAATAAAGCTACGTACGTGCAATACTTGTTCCACAGGATTAGATTTTGTATCCTCTGGATTCCAACTACCGTCTTTCCCCAGAAAGATTTTTTGAATAAACAGGCAATCCTTTGGCCCTCGCCATGACGAAGGTCCAGCTGTACGTACCATGCAAAATAACAATTACACTATTCAGTGCGAACCCTTGTTTGGCAACATCTACAATGTATAACTTTGAACGAGCTATGGCTTATGCATACCAGCTTATACCCCCGTCACACCAGGCCCCGATCTCACTACGCTCGTACTACGCTCTAAGAGCGTGGTGGAAACGCGTAGAACGCAGTATGCAACGTACTATAAGCGTAACACGCTCTAACTGGACGTACTGCGATGCCTGATCTGGCGCGTGGCAGTTCGCCATGAAGCGGGAGAGCGTATGCAAATATTTTAGCAATGTTACCAAACAATCTGGTGGTGCCGGCGTCGGCGAAAAGACAATGACGCAGTGAGGACGTATTAGAGACGTGGAAGGCGTAGTAACCCACGTAACTCGATGCGATACGAACTTAATGGATCGTGATCGCAAGCGTGCGGGTGCGTGAAATTGTCTGACGCCGTGTCCAGCAGCGATGTCAATGCGTTTCATTCACGCTGTTACTTCGTCCATGGAGACTCCTGCGACACTGACCGATGCTCTTCGCTATGACCATGGTGTCTTCTGGCAAGGCTCGATCCCGTTCGTACTACGATTGTCTACGCCAAACATATGCTCAGACCAGTTACCCGTTTGGCGTCGCAAAATACGTGCTTCAGTTGCGTCCAATTACACGCCCAAGATCACGTCCCTGCGAACTTCTGGGGTAAAATTAGTGCTACCTGCCACCCCACCATCTCAGTGTTCCAACTGAGCGATGAGGCAACACTCACTCCATTTGCCTGCTTTCTCGTGAAGTGACAATCGAATTCACTTGATGCCACTCGTCATCATGCAGAGGAGATGAGAGGCAAAATAGACAGATAAAGTAGTAATGAAAATATCTTGATCGTGGAGAGTCAGGCACAGCAGTAACAGAATGATGACGTCTAGTAACCGACGCGCGTATCTTTATATGTCGTTGGCAGCACAGCGGCGCTGCCTAGCTTAGAAGCAGTTGATAATGTCGCACTATAGGATCGTGACTTGGCGCGCATCTTGAGCGCGGTGGAGCGTTCTTAGGCGCAGTGCAAGCTGTTTGATCTATCGCAATGCGTATCGACTTGGTCGCAAAAAGACCAGCGGCGCAGTGCAAGCGTGATGCCGGCGTGGTGTTGAGACGCTGTATGGACGTGGTTGAAAATTTGTTGGGCGCAATGAGATGGGCTAAAGACCGCACTTAGATCGTAGTATCGGCGGTCTGGGCCCTCGCATTGGCCATGGCTCTCACCATGTCTCGCTCAGATGTTTTGAGCGTGGGGCCGATCGTGATGAGCGTAGCTCTAGGTGACGGGGCTTTAACCCGAATACATGTGACTTCAGAGGTACAACTAATATCATCGTAATACAAATATGTACAACGGCAATATTATTGTCATCACTTATCACATACGTCGAATCCAATCACTGTTGGTCAAGTCACTATAGCAGATAAGGTCTTATGGTCTCCCCTGGTACTGCGGAACGTACCCTGGGTACAGCCGACACGCCTGTAATCTATATCTGATATGGTTAAATAGGGTTAGGGTAGCGGTATAGGGTTTAGGAGTAAGCGTATGCGACCTCCCCCTAGACTCGTTAGTGAGTAGGGCGAGTACGTGTCCGGCATATTAGATAGTACCAGGTATCGTTCCGGCACCTAACCCATTGGAGACATAGACCCTACGGCATCAACTAATAATCGTCACGACCTGTGTGTTGTGATATATCAGGAGTGTCATAATATAGCCTATATTATGACACTCATGTATATATAGATATGCACGCTCCTGCAACTGTGAACAACCTCGGCTGCCTAACCCAGTGCGAGAATTCATGTATTTTACTAGGAGTCATGCCATATATGTCATGCCATAGGATGTCATATAGGTAGGTCAAGCCTAAAGTCAAGGAGTTACCATGCTAGAAGCAGCAGGTCAGAGCAAATATGGAATTTTTCTCTTTCCACGGCAAGACGTGCTGCTTTGGTTTTATAGTCAGATATATAGAGTACCGTGGCAAAGACCAATGAGGGGCACCAAGGGGACTTATTGTCAAGGCCGTGGCTACACGTCCGGTCATATATTTCTTATGTATAAACCCAACTATATTTTTTCAGTAAAAAACAAGAAACAATCAGTTTTTACCATAATATTACCTACCTTTAGGTATATTTTATCGAAAGAATGTGTTTATGTAACCTTTGGAGCAATAGTAAATCCAGTAAAATCAATGATTTGAAAGGGGCGTGGCCTAATCGTGATGTGGATTTGGGAATCTATGCTGAGCTTTAATTGTAATGGATGACCAGACGCGTAGCCACTGCGTATTGTCAATACGCTCTATGTGAACATGCAAACATGTGCAAACAGGGAGGTTTAGCTACTGCTGTGGGCATAGTTCAAATCACCAGAGCAGGTTAAAGGAGGGCAACCACGACACTTGTGGTTGGTGCTTTGCTGAAATTCGAACCCTGTCAATATAACCAGAAATGTGCACTAAGTATATCTGAAAGCATTTTCGGTTAAAGGGGTTATCCGGCGTAGAAACGTGTGCTGCACTACATCAGAGTTATATGAATCACACATTCTACTGCTTCTCATGCACACTGGACCACACGTGTAATTAAGAGTCTAACGCTAGATATACGCTGCTGATTACACCTATTAAACCTACTGATGACGACGCACCTCGACTAGTTTTACTTCAAAGTTGTGCTGAACCTCCCAGTGGTCCGGAGTCTCGTACTTAAACCTGCAAAATAAACGTATGCACTGGAGCATCACCGGCACACCTTATCGTGTTCCGACGTAGCTACAATTAATATTGTTAGAGAGCAGTCATCTCACAAGCAAGCAGGGTCGGAAGAAAAAGTCAACCCGTGGCTCCCCACACCCGGGCCCAGAAATTCTGCCTGTGGTTTCGCCATCGTTACTGGAATTTCAAAGAGTATTTGCATAAACTTAAAGTGAACGCTGATAACCAGCATTATTTTACGCAGAAATGCATGACGGCATGCATACACTTTTCATGGGTGCGACACAACTCGGTTCGGTTTCGTTCAGAGTTCGGTTTGTTTGAATAACCCACAACTGCGTACAACTCGTAATCACGACAGCGAGATATACCTACAATGTGTCCGTTTTGGTTTGGGAAGGGATGCCTGCTCTCGTCGCAGACATGTCTCGGCTGTTTGTATAAGGCTTCTCAGAACTGGAGAACACAGAGAAGCGAAACCTGATTGACAATACACAATTGTTCTATTGTTACTGAATGTATGCGCGTGTCATGCGCAGTTGGTTGTATAATAAACGCCACTAGTTGTACGTGGCTCCAGCTAGCCAGACGTCTTGTCTTGTTTGTCCACGTAGAACAGAACATGGTGTCAGAATACGTACGAACTCGCCTTGAGTGATACGAATGACCATAGACATAGTTCTCAGGAAAGAACGTGCAGAGCTGCAAGGAAAGGCAGTGAGGAAGTAGGACGTACGCTCTATTAATTATCTATTATTGTGATTAAGTGTGTGCTCTGTCCAGTCACGCAATGGATCTAGCTGGGATTCCCGTGCCTAAGATGGAGTGGGACTCGACTAACCTGCCCGAGGCGTTTAAACGATTTAAGCAGCACATTGAGCTCGTGTTTGATGGCCCGTTGACAGATAAAGATGAGGCAGTGAAATGCAAGTATTTCATGCTGTGGATTGGAGACAGAGGGAGAGAGATTTATAACACATGGAGCGTTACGGAAGACGATGCGAAAAAACTATCTACCTACTACGAGAGTTTCCAGTCGTACATACAGCCGAAATTAAACCCGATATTTGCGCGGTATAAGTTTAATAACGAGGTTCAGCGAGAGCAGTCAGTAGAGCAGTTCATAACCAGGCTTCGAGTTCTCGGAAAGGATTGCAATTACAGGGATCTGGATGAGATGATACGGGACCGAATTGTATTTGGTATCTCGAACAGTAAGGTCCGAGAAAAG